TGGTAGAAATCTGGGGTTTGGTTACAGAAAGCTCTTATGATCCTCCTTATCCCTTAGGGAATCCCGTAAGCTGTATCATTTATTACCCAGCCTTTTACGTCTAGGGAGTGTATGATAGCATTGTTGATAACGGTAAAACTTTTCAATTGAAGACTAGAGGTGTGGAAAACGTTGTATTGTGAAAAGAGCACGCAGCTTTGGATCCCAGCTCTCTTATTGGCTAGGATTCAGGTCATCTGCCTGAACCTTCTTTTCTGTTCCGTAAATGGGGGTGCTATCCCAGCTTTCAGATGAATCTGTGTTGTGACACGATGCATATGCACACATGTATGGCACCTGGTAGGTGTGCGCGTGCAGAGGCGGTCAGTTTGGGGCTGTTGGATGTTCAGTGCTGTGCCCTCTCCCCCACACACACTATGAGGTTTTCTCTTTCTCACTCTCCCTCCTTTATGGGTAGCCCCCTTCCGTACAGCCTGCTTCTGAAAAATGAATTAGGAATGATTTTGACTATTTGTGTTTTTAACTGTTGATATTCTTTCAGTGTTTTCCTAGCCCTCTTTGGATGTTTAAAACATGAAATAGGGATGAAAATGTTTTTCAGTCATGGGAGGGGCAGTGTGGCTAGCTAACTCGTCTTCCAAAGCAAAATGAAACCAATACTTCTTTCTCCTCCCTTCCTCCCCCCTCTTCCTTCTCCCTACTCCTCCCTCATCTTTCAGCTTTGCTCAGGTTAAAGCCAGTGGATGGTCACTGTGCTCTGGAATCCAAATACGTGAAGACCATATGTCTGCCCAACGACCCCTTTCCCTCTGGGACTGAGTGCCACATCTCCGGCTGGGGAGTAACGGAAACAGGTGAGTCTGGTGATGTACCCTCCACATACCCAGGAGAGCTACACCATCCAGAGAATAAAGGACCGATGTCATTTGCCCTCTTTGCTCTTGAAACAAATTCAAAGTGCTCCATCAAAGAATGCATCCGCCTCATTGTTCAGACTCTAGTTGAATGTAACCATTTGCATGGAACTTTCCCTGTGAGCCTCTCATCACCATAGTGGTCTCTGGCCTCCTGATCTAGATGTGTGACCTTTCTCAAGCACTCATTGTACACCAGAGAAGACCTCTCTCCTTCTCCAAGCAAACTGCAAAGATGCTGAGTGCACAGCATATGTGGGCACGTGTGGTACTTGGTAGGATGCTGGGTGCACAGCATATATGGGCATGTGTGTTACCGGGTAGGATGCTGGGTGCATAGCATATGTGGGCATGTGTGGTACCGGGTAGGATGCTGGGTACACAGCATATGTGGGCACTGTGGTACCAGGCAGGATGCTGGGTAAAGACCATGTGTGGGCACGTGTGGTACCTGGTAGGATGCTGGGTGCAGACCATGTGTGGGCACGTGTGGTACGTGGTAGGTGCTCAGGGGCAGAAATGATGCTGTTTAAAGCTACTGGCATTGAACAGCTCTTTAGTGTTGGGTATTGTTCTTGTTTTTGTTTCTCAAGCAGCTCAGTTTTACTTTGTCAGTTGTCATTTTTACGCCCAGAGCTTGGATCATGCACACCAGAATTATATCTTGAATACAAAGAAGTTCAGGAGAGTATTTTCAAGTCTTTACCAAATACTCAAAATATGTCACCTCCTACTAATAGTGTACTTAATAACGGACAGCAAAAAATCACTTTGAGTAGGCTTAGAGTCCCGCAGAAGGAAATAGAATGCATGTATGCATTTGCCAGAGGCTCCGGGGGAAGAAAATCTCTGCCTAATTGGACTTAAGGTCAACCAAAAAAGTTTCTGCAGCTCTTTGTTGTAGTCTGTCTAAGCTTTTCCTCTTTGGCTCTCCTTAATGGGCCTGCTCAGCTGAGGATGTCTTAGTTGAGAGTCCTATAGGGCCTCAGATTAGAACGCCTTTGTTTTTCACAAATAGTCCTTAGACTATGTTCAAAGTCAAAGATGCTCTGAGAGATTGCCTTATCTTTGAAAAGGGGGTATCTTCTCTGGGAAGCAGACAACCTAATGTCAGGGAGCTTCATGTGGATGCATCTGTTCTATGCACGCATGAATCTATCTATCTGTCCATCTGCCCCCATCTGTCCATGCCTCCATGAGACTGCCCTTGCATTGATACATCTATTTCTTCAGAACCTACTGTGTATTATGTGTTAGCCTTCTGCTAGATGCAGGAAATTAAAGATGATTACAAACCATGCACATTTTCCAGAATTTATGATCTAGTTGAGAAGATAAAGAACAGAACAAATCATTTGTTCAACTGTGATCAGAATGGCTTTGAAAGTCTGCACGAGCTTGGGGTGAGGAGGATGCAGGATGCTGGTGTTGGAAGGTGGGCTGTTTCTTCCCATCCTCCATAAAAAATACCTTTCTCCCCCAACTGAGAGCTGGTGGCTTCTTCTTACTAAGGTGACTTCTAGTGAAGTGGGTATCACTGCAGTCTCCACAGTAGCATGGTAGTGACTGTTTTCTTCCCACAGGAGAAGGGTCCCGCCAGCTCCTGGATGCTAAAGTCAAGCTGATCACTAACACTTTGTGTAACTCCCGCCGACTCTATGACAATACAATAGACGACAGTATGGTCTGTGCAGGGAACCTCCAGAAGCCTGGATCAGACACCTGCCAGGTCAGAGACTCCACAGGTTCCACGGAAGGAGGGGCTTTCTGAATATCAAGCTGAGAAAAGAGGCCTACTATAGCTCTGGGGTGGGAACCAGGGTCAACGGGTCAGCAGCTTCCATGGGCAGACCTTTCTGAGCCTACATCAAGCTAGGAGAGCTGGCAGTGTGGCATGTTCCTGCATTGCCTGGTTGAGCTCTCACAACATCCTCTGAAGGGGATGCCACCATCACACAGTACAGAGGCTTGGGGACATTATCAAGGCCAATAATAGCAGTGTGTTAAGCAGTGGGCCCAGAACTGGAACAACCCAGGTGTGTGGAACACCAAAGCCTGTACTACTTTGTTCCACCGTGATAACGGCGTACCCCCAGGTTCTGGGATCTATGGAGATTGGATGGTGCTCCTAGAGAAAGAGAAGGTGGTTATTCTACCAACTCTATGCTAAGGGGACCTCAGGTCCCTGCCCCAAATCAAAGCCCATATTCCGTATAGTTCAGGGATCATGTTCCATGAAATACAACCTTCCTAGGTGCCCAGGATGAGCTTGGTTTAGGCTTCCTGCTCATTCTTCCACACTGCCCCGCTGCCCTCAGAGACCCAGCATGGCCACATTCTGATCCTGCACCACAATGAAACCTTCCTACAAAGGGACCCAGGATAACTAGCCAATCCGGAGCCCATTGGGTTGGGAAACTGGACTTCCCCAGAGTCTGAGGCTCGTGATGACCCTCTGTTCCTCTGGGGGGGGGCAGGGCATGGGAAGCCACAAATTCTGAATGGAAAAGAACAAGTAGGTGTGGCTTTCCTAAGCTCTTGGAAGATGAGTGGGACCACCAGCTACTCGGTCCTCCAGGTAACTCAAGGGCTATCACTTGACCGCTTTCTGACCTTGACCGATGTGACCATAAGATCACAAGGTAGTGACCATGATTAGGTTAGAAGAGCACAGTCATGTGATGAAAGTTGTTAGGTGCTAGGACGAAGCCAGCTGCTTTCCTCGCTGCCTTCCTCCTGCCCACTTCTATTGGTCCAAGCACTTCACACAGAATCTTCACTGCTCCTCTCAAAAGCAAAGTTCCTCTGTGGTTATCCACAGCTCACCAATGAAAAAGCAAGGTCACTGGTCGCTGGCCAACAGGCAGTAGTTGACCATATTGACTGCCTCTGAGTCCCTGTCCTCCTCCGTAAGTGTGGGTCTGTCCAAACACACCATTGCCCATCTTGGTCGGCTGCTTGATGTTGGGGGCCCTAGGCACTGATAATGGAACCATTAGAACTGAAAGTCAGGGAGCATTCCTTGCCCGCAGCACTGTGGCTGCAGCCCTGGGCTTCAAACTTTTTCCAAACTTGGCAACTGAAGCCCGTATTAGCTTCCCTCCTGTTGGAGCTATATATCATAGGACACTCAGTATCAGCTTCCCTCCTGTTGGAGCTATACATCATAGGACCTCAGGAAGAGCTTTGGAACCGCTTTCCAGAGGAGTCCAAGGTAGCTGGCAGCAACTTCATTCCATCACTTGTAGGCAGTTTGGGACATCTTGGAATCTAGTTGTCAAGGCTGACCTCCTGTGGTTCTCCCCTCAGGGTGACTCTGGGGGCCCTCTGACCTGTGAAAAGGATGGCACTTACTTCGTCTATGGGATCGTGAGCTGGGGCCAAGAATGCGGGAAGAAGCCAGGCGTCTACACTCAAGTCACCAAATTTCTGAATTGGATCAAAAACACCATTCAAAAGGAGGCTGGCTTCTGAGCTGCTGTCTTCGGACCCTCGAAGCCCCTTTTCTTTAGCACTAGACAAAAGTGGCTATCTGGGCAGCTAGAGATGTCCTTTCAATTCCAGAAGGCCAGGTAGCTGAAGGGCCACGCTCTGGACAGAGACACTGTTGCCCAGCCTGAGCCTTTCTGGGCAGGTATGTGCACCATTTCATGAGACCCACTCTGTCCCCTCCTCCTGGGAACCAACAAGAACTATGCCTGCTTTTGCTCCCCTTCTGACAAATACACCTTCTAGAAAAGTGGAATACACTGAGACTGTCTTCACCATTGACACCACAAATATGAGCTTACTGAAATCCCGCCACCCCCCTCCGCCAGATGTCACCTGGACTCTTTCACCTTGGCCCAAACCATCAAGGTCCAGCACAGAACTAGCCAGTCTCACCCAGTCATCTAAGAGAAACCCCCAAACACAAGCTCCATTGTTTGCTTTCAGAGTTGTTGTTTTAATAAAGGCAGATGTGAGAAGGAGGAGAGGATGCCATTGTTTAACAACTTGTGCAGACTGGAGCCACAGGGGCATGCCTCTGGCGTGCAACCCTCAGTGGCGGCTTCTCTCTCGAGGATGCAGGCGGAGGCGGCCGGCTCACATCAGCGGAGTCTTCCTCCTGTTAATATGCAGAATCTCCGAGGCATCTGGGTTCACCTCCCGGCTCTGATGATCTCCATGCCCCACTTCCTCTGGTCCCCCCTGCAGAAATCACACACAGCCCCCTGAGTGCACATGACGCTCCCACAAGCCGTGCTAAGATGCCCGGCCAACATCCAACGCGTTCACCTCCCCTTCTTTGTCCTCTCTTCCACCCTGCCTAAGAAAAAGGACCCTCAAGGCAAAGATGAGAAAGAAGCAAAGCCTGTGTCTCATTTAGATGTGGTGTCTCTTTTCTGAACAAAGTGGGGTTCAAAACGCAGACTGTTGGAGCCAGCGAGTCCCTGACCCTTTCCGTGCGTGTAACGAGCAAGCACTCAGCACAGCCTGGGCTGCCCTGGCCCGGGATTGATGTCGCCCTGGTAGGTTTGCCTCTGCAGAACTAATGGCTGTGACTTCAGAGGAAGCCTGCGGGAAGTTTAACCCATGTGTCATCCGCCCGGTCATCTCAGACCCATGAAATTAGGCGCCTTGTTCAGCTGCCTTTCACGCTTCTTTAGAACTGGCTGACCTTTGCCCAAAAATAAACTTTGAAAAGCAACAATGAGTTTGTATTTCCCATGGTCTGACAAGGCAGGGTGCAGTTTGCTGCTTGTTACTCACATAAGCCCCCCGGAGACCCAGGCCCCTCCTGTTGGCCAGTTCTGCAGCCCGACGAGCCATTTCCACTTTGTAGGAGCCGGGAGGGGTCCAGCCGACACCTCGAGTCAGGTTCAAGTCAGATTTGTATTTGACCTTGGGGGAAGGAAGAAGCAGGAGGAATAGTCAGTGGGGACTGGGGGCTTGACCACTGAGAGAGAGCATCTAAAATGCAGCAAGATGTGAACCACATTGACATCATTAGTGTCAAGACAAAGAGCAGTCACGTGATGCACAGAGTGTGCAATGAGCCTGGCTGCCATGCAGCCACTCCTGGGATCTCCCCATTCAAATGGTGGGAGCTGCAGTGGGGCAAAGTAGACTGGGGACACCTGGCTCACGTCTAAGTTCCTATCTTAACATGCTCTGTGCCCTTAGGAAACTCCCCTTCCCTCTCTGAGCTTCGGGTGCATATCAGAGAAAGAATAAAACCGGATTAAGTAATTCTTTAGATGCCACAGAAAAAGTACATCTGAGCCACTAAGGACCTGAGCTTTCAGACTGGGCATTTGCTAAGTGGGAGAGCACTTGCTTAGCATGCATAAGGCCCTGGGCTCCATCGCTAGTACAAAGAAACAAAGAGAGGAGAGAAGAAGGAAGGAAGAAAGGGAAGGAGGGAGGAAAAGAGGGAGGAAGGGATGGGGGAAGAAGAGATGGAGGGATGGAGATATGGAAGGAGTGAGGGAGGGAGGGAGGGAGGGAGGGAGGGAGGAAGGGAGGGATGGAGAAAAAGAGGGAGAGAGGGATGGAGAGAGGTAGAGAGGGAAGGAGGGAGGAAGAGAGGGAGGGATGGAGGAATGGAGGGAGGGAGGGATGGAGGAAGGGAACCAAGGAAAGGGGGAAGAAGCTGAGCTTTCACACCAGGCCTGCCACTTATTTTCCGTGCGATCTTAGGTAGTTTGACTCCTCTATATCTTGGGTCCTTTATCTGTTAAGTAAGGCAATACCAGTCTTGGAAGGGCTGCACAGCACCATCCTTAGCAAGCATCTGTTACAGGTGTGGCAGCAGTGGGAGTAGCTGTCACTGTGCCTTCCCAGCTGGGTCCCCCAGAAGCTAACAGGAATGCGTGGGGGTGGCTCACATCACTCTGCAGTTGATGGGCCTTCCGGGCATGCTTCAGGCCCAGCTGCTCCGGGTCGCTAGTGTGCTGGGGCAGCGGCTGCCTGTAGTGTATATCACTGGCCAGCTGCTGGCTCCTTTTGGCCTGGAGGAAGCCAGGTTGGTCAGTGCGGCTGTGGAACTGGGAACAACCCTTGGCCAAGCCCTTCTTGTACTCATTATCACTCTGGAGCTTGCCAACATGGAGGAAATGCCTCATCCTTGGGTCGTCATTGACGCTGCGGTACCCAATCTGTAGGCCCCGGTCCCTCAGGAAAGCCTCTTTGTACCGGAACTGCAAGGCAGAGAAGCAGAGAGAGGTGATGGGGATGCCCCTCCCCATCAAAGCCAGCCTCCCCAGAGGGGTTAGGCCCTGGGACTTCAGCAGGAAACCCAACAGTGGGTAAGGGTAGAAACTTTGGAGTCAAGTAAACCCAGAGCCGTAGCCTTGGACCAGCTGCGGGACCTCTGAACATCCGACAGAGCAGGAGAATGAATCTCTATCCCATGGGGGATTGAGAGAAGCCAAGGATACAGGACTGGAATTCAACGATGCGCACTGACGATGTCTATTCGCATGGCTGCTGTAACATCCAATAGGAATGGAACTGGGCCATTCTTCCTCCTGTCCTCTGCATCACTCGGGGACCTAGTCTGATGCATCTCAAATTACTTAAAGTGAAGCATTTAGTTCCTTTTACATAGTTACATTTCTTCTTACTTTTACCTTGTGCGTATGTGTACGAGCACATCTAAGCATTCTTGTGTGTATGTGTGGGAACATGTGTGTGTGTGTGTCATAGTGCACTTACGGAGGACAGAGGACGACACTGAATGTCTGTCTGTCTTGGCCTTCTTCACTATTGAGATGGAGTCTCATGTTAGCCACTGTATACGCCAGGCTAGCTGGCTATTGAGCTCCTAGGGGATCCTCCTAGCCCTGTTTCCCATCTTACCATAGGAGAGCTGCGGTCACAGATATACACCACATCTGGGGTTATAGGTGCATGCCTCCACATCTGGCTTTACATGAGATCTGCAAGTCTGAGTGTAAGTCCTCATGCTTGCACAGAAGCGATTTCATAAAAGGTTCTTCACTACAAACTAAGCAGCCAAGCATAGTCCACAGGTTCCTTGGCTCCTAGGGGCTCCAACTATCAACTTTTGATACCTCTCCTAAAATACATATATTTTTAAAAAGCCTTCCTTTTTCTGACCACGATCCTAACCACCAGGCCTGTATTCACTTCCCTTTGAAACATGATTCTGTTTTCGTGTGGAAAAGAGCAGTCTGATGGTCCAGGAGGCTGGGCTGTGCCTTCCAGCCCACTTGGGTAACCAGTGAGAACCCTTTCAGCAGAACATTTAGCGTCTTACATCACTGGCGATATCCCTGGACGCCTTGGCAGTCTGGAAAGGGATGGCATCCAGCCTGAAGTCATAGCCACCGGCCCGGTTCTGCTCCCAGGAGTTTCTGTAGACTTTCTGGTTGAGAGAACAGAAGTGCTCGTGAACAAGGAGCAACCATTGCCTGCATGCTATTTGGTCTCAGCGGGAATTATGTTCCAGGGATGTCTGCGCTCATGGCTCCTTATGATGCTGGGGGACGTCCCCACGCTAGGGATAATGGAACTGACCGTAAAAGACTTCTGCCCTTCAGGAGTTGTGGTCCATGAGTCTAGCTCACTTGCTGTATCCCGCCATTCCCAGGGGCCCTGCACCATCCTTCCTGTGTCCACATCTCCTCTCTGAGTCTCAGCTTTTCAGCCTCTTGACTGAACCCAGAACCTGGAGCTCTGGCACACCAAAAGTGCTCTTCTCTGGGTCTTGTCACCCAGGGGGCTTGCTCGTTCCTCTGACTCCCTGAGATTGGGGATTCAGTCTAGCTGCGATGCCTCACCCCATCGCTAGGAGAAATGCTGAACCCCACAGGCACTCCAAAGACTTTCAGGGAGGCCAGCGCCTTCGCCTGATTGGGTACTTTCCGTCTTCCACTCTTATTTCCCCCTCCCTATTTCAAGTTGGTCCACTCCCCTCTGGGGGTCTGTAATCATATCCCCTCAGTCCTTATGCATGCCACATCACCTATGGAGGCACCAAAATCTTCTGTGCCTTCATGTAGCTAACTATTTCTTTCCAAGATAAGGCAATTCCTCCAGGAGAGGAGTCCTAGGGAGACCCCGGGAGACGCTCTCCTTGATTCAGCCTTAGAGACGCAGGACAGCAGGAGAGTCATGGCACCAAGGGATAACAAAATGACAGCCCCAGACTTATGGTGGCTGCTGGCTCATTCCGAGAGCTGCAGCAGGTCAAGGGCCCCTTAAGAACCTTCCTTTGGTTCCCTGGAAATGGAGGTCAGGACTGGATCTCTGTTCTGCAGAGGTTTGAAGAATTGAGCAGAGGCAGATGAAAAGCAAAGCGCTCCTCCCGCTTTTGTTCTGTGCTCGGCCCTGGAAGGGGACCAGGGAGTGCCTGGGCCAAGCAGGCTAGACCTACTCATCTATGTGTGTGACTGCATCGGCTATGTTATCATAGCTACCTTCACCATGACCTCCAACCTCAACAACCAACACACGAGCCAAACGCACAAGGCCCAAGAAACTCAGGCCCAACCAAGCCTTGCATGGGAAACTAACTAACTACTTTGTCACAGCCAGTGCCAAGGGCTTAGATGTACTGGGTCTCTATCTAGTCTAACAGTGAGGACTGGAAGGCATTCAAGAGATGGAAGAATCAGACAAGAACCCATCAACAACCCCTCTTAGCTGTCTGCTTCCTGTTTTGGTGGCTTCCAAAGACATCTGAGTAGGAAATGGAGATGACAACCCTAAACACTCTCTATGGGAGGACCCAGTACCTTCTTACTAAAAGCTCTACCCCAGATCTGGGGCAGTTAAAGACACCAAACTTTCCACAGACTTTAAGTCCAACCCTAGAGCACTTGGGTGGCCTATCTATGCACCTCAGCCCTGAGCCTGGGTAACTCGGGGGCACCTGTAGAGACAGTGGCCTGAACTGGGGTCTCCAGTGTGCCAGCTCTCTCTCTCTCTCCTGGTGCCCCCCACTCTGCTTGCTGACAGCGGCTTCCTCCCGTGTTTTCTAGGCTGCTGAGGTTTCTGCTTTGCTGCTGGCATTCTTTAGATTCCGCGGGCTCTTTGATTTGGAACCCTGGGCATCCCTCTTCTTGATCACAGTTTTGTCCTCGTCCTCACACATTAGAGTCATTTGATTTCGGGTTATTTCGGTTGCCTTGCACATCTCAATGGCTTTCTTTGCTCAGGAAGGTCACTTTGCCCCCACGTCCTCCTCACAGAACACTCGATCCGATGGTGCACCTTTCCCTGCCCCCGCCTGAAGAAGTGCTCTTTCAAACGAGGTTCGTGGGTTCTCCACACCCTGTGAACCCCGGGGGCTAATTTCAGCTTCGGGACTCTGCAGGCTGTCCCTCCACCTTGTGAGAGAACCACACTCTGGGGTGGCCGTCCTCCTTAAGAGGGGACCCTCATGAGCCAGCAGTTGCAGCCCTGCCTCTGTGCTGTGGTCCTCGGAGAGTTACTCCAGTGGAGCCCTGGCCTCCCCATCCTTGGGAATTAATGAGCTGGACCTTCTGTCCCAGCTCTGTAGAGGGGGCGGTCCAGCTTCCCCAGATGGAGGCCAGCCCACCAGAGCTGCCGTTCTAAAATTATCCCTCGCTCATCCCTCAGAAGCATCAAATGCTTGTAATAACTCCTATTTACAAAGCAGGAGAGCATTGGCCGTGCGGGATCCCACAGGGCTTTACAACAGCAACAAACTAATACACACGCTAACTAGAAGGCGCCTCTCTGCAACCCCTGCAAGGCAGACACCTCTGGGGTGAGCAGCAGCAGCTGCCGATCCACACGCAGCCCCAGGACACAATGGCCAGGCCAGGGAAGGAAGAATGGCTGGACTCTAGGAGGCCGCTCGCTGCCCCAGGCTGACACACTCAGCCTGTGTTATTCCAATCTGACAGCGTCTTTTGATTGCAACGCTTCTCTACCTGTTATCTGGGGATCATAGCACTGCTGGCTGAGCGGCTGCCTATTCTATTACAACCCGGGGCCTCCAACCCCTGCCAACAACAAGCCCGAGTTTAGGAAGCAGTGTCTTGGTTATGTACGCAAAGGGCACACATCCAGAGGAAGCTGGAGTGTTGGCAGGCATGGCTCCGTGCACAAAGGAGCCAGCTACGTTGAGAACATCTTTTCAAACTGCGGAGCGAGATGGTGTCATCCCATCTCCTCAGTCATGCTTCTCTGGACGGCTAAAGAAAGATGTCCAAGGAATCACAGAACAGGTTTGTCTACACCTAGCAGAGCCTGGGGACCATACCCCTGACCATGAGAAGCCACATAACCGAGGTCTTCAGAGCCCAGCCTAGAATAGGACTGTCAAAGCTACAAGAGACTTCCACTTAGCTCAGCTCCATTTCTTCCCATTTTACAGGTAAGGAAACTGAGACCCAGGAAGTTGATAGGAGTTACACAAGCAGTTTGTCCTGCTCTCAGTCCCGGGTTCTTTTACTTTCATGTCCTCCTTCTTAGGACTTAAACATAATAATAATAATAATAATAATAATAATAACCAGTCAAATCAACTCAAGCAGGCACACGTCACGCAAGCCCTACTTACGTCACTCAGGTACATGGCGTTCAACCGTGCTCGGGTGAAATCTGGATGGTCTGGAATGGGGGTGTATCTGTGCAGGGAGTCTGCATCCCCTGACCTGTACAGGCGCTGTGGGGGAGACAGAGCAACGGTCAGGGCAGAGCCTAGATACAGTCACACTTGGTAAAAGTTCAAGAGAAAAATGGTTGATGGCCTATCCTGCCCTCCCCTTTGCTACAGGAAGTGGGATTCTGTGCTGCTCTTGCAAACAATCCTTCTAGAAGCGTCTGGTGAGTAGAAGGTCCCTATGAGGCCAGGGTCATGTATGGTGAACATTGTTCAAATATTTGCCATTATCTGCTCCAAATGGACCATAAACCAACTCCCTGGTAGGCCATGCCTGTGTAATTTACTCTGCCTGAAATGGGTGTCAGACCCTCTGCAAGCCAATGAATGTGATCACTGGTAACAAGAGACTACGCCCAGGCCTCTGAGGCTCAGCTGGTCAACATGAACAGAAGTAATTAAAAACAAATGGGCCTTTTTTATTTTAAAATTTATTAAATGTCTTTGTGTTTAAAACCTTAAGGTTTTCATGGTTGACCCAAATCATACAAAGACACAAATTTTAAGATTAATGTTTTGTCTAGGTTTTCCTTTTTAGAGCAGTGTTGCCAACAACCTCAAGAAGCGCTTGGAGCCCATCTATTCCTGCAGGTATAGACACTCTGTTCCCACCAGTTCCCAAATCCACTCAGGCTTTGGAAATGAGAACTATTCAAGGCAGCATTTGGGCTGTGGGAGGAAGGGGCAGTCTTATAACTGCACAGAGAATGGAAACCCTTGACAGTTTGGGGGGGGGGGGTGGACATGCAGCCTCCTGTCCCCTGAACGAGGAAACAGGCAGCAAAGGCAGAAGGAAGCTTTGAACAAAACCAGTCTTTTTTTTTTTTCTCCTCTAGCGGGGTTAAATTAAGCCTTTTAGTTCCATTGCATACATGAGCAATTAAGGTGTATCTGATTTCATGTTTGGTGAGAGAACATCAGTAATGCTAGGTGTCATTGTGATGATAACTCGAACCACACAGTTTGAAAAGATTTGTAGACGACCCTGTGTTCCTGGCATTTGCTTCAAGCTTTCTTTGCCTTTAGTTATTCAACCCTCTTTAAATTCATTAGACTGTGTAAGGAAGGGTTGCCCTCACCATTCTCCCACCCGCTTCCCCCTTCAAATAAGGTGGGTGAGGTGAGAAGAGATGAGAAACGGGCCCACATCACCCAAATGGCTCGCACTCCATCTAGCACCAAGCCCCAGCATCCCATCCTCTGCCCAGGATTAGAGGAAGAACCCACCTCATTGCAGTGCAAATAGCTGTTCTTGGCATGAAGAAGGTCTGGAGAATCTACCACCGTGGTGAACTTGATACTGTCTGGTTTTTCACGGTACTTGGTCTATAAAGGAAAAGATTGCCCTGATGCATGGTTAAACATCACTTCCATCTTTAATCCTGGCTTCTTGGGACCAAATGCCCATATGACAATGGCGTCTCAGAAGATAAGCCACTCTGCTTGATAGGAACCCGTCAATCAAGAGCATGGGGAGGACTGAAAGCCTGTGGCAGACATTAGTTTCTTAAAGAAGGGATTCTTGACTGTCAAGGGAAGTGTTACAATCCAAGGAGCCTTGCTTTGACACTCCCCAAGCACATTCTGTTAGTAGAAAATCAAAGCTGGCAGTATTTCAAGGACATTGAAGGACAGAGGTCCCCAGCTATCAATCAGTCGGTATTACTAGCCCTGTGTAACTTTTAAAACCCTCAGAAGCCACGTAACCTCTGTATACTGGACCAAACTCAGCGGGTAAATATAGATTTCCTGAATTGCCAATGAAGACAGTGGTGCACTCAGATGATAACAGGTCATAATGTATCTAATAAGAAGCTCCTCGTGTATCTAATGCCTTCAACTCCTTGACAGTTGAAGAATTAGTAGTAGGGAAATAACGTTGTTTTAGGTTTGGATTGCAAATAGTTCCAGAAAAAGAAAATTCTTGGAGTCCATCAAGCCTTGGGTTCATCTTGGCATGATCTCCACTGTGTAAAGACGTTCTCTGTTCAAAAGGAACTACTCAGGTTGCCCACGTCACTCGGGAGGTCAGGCTGCTGGTACCTCGCTGATAAGCTCTCCAGCCTTCTTGGCACTCTCCATCTGAGGAGATCTCAGAGCCAGCCATCCTGTGCCCTTCATCCCCATCAAGTCTGACCTGTAGCGAAACTGCAGAAAGAAAGTGGAGAGCTTCTGTCAGGACAGTGCCCAGCACCTGAGGACATTTCTGCAAGGCCCTTGCTTTGTAATAAGAATAATAACAATAAAGAATAATAAATCATGCTTTATCCCAACAGTTCCGTGACTTCACTGAGAGAAGATCCTAAGTCCAAATGTTTTGAGTTTGCACATTTTCCATGTATAAAGTAACAAGAAAGGTACAAGATGTTAGCATGGCTTGAAGCTGACAGCGGTGACGTCCGTGGACAAGCACGTAAAGAAAGAGCTATGTGCTCAAATCCAAGGATCAACCAGGATTATCTGGGTTCACTCTACAGTGAGGCAATCTACCACCTGCCAAACAAAAATGATCTACACACCGTTCAGCTGATCAAAGGGGTTTGAGCCCCGGATCGAAGCTGCTAGGACTCAGAGTAAATTTCTTTACCAACGTGCAACTCAGTCTCTCTGTCACCTTTGAAGGTCAAGACGATCCTCATGAAAATCCTAAGAGTCCTTAGGGACAAGAGACCATTAGATTTCTGTTCCTCAGACAGTGGCCACCGAGGGGGCAGGGTTGACTACTGGGGAATTTAAGAACTAAAGCAGATCTAAATATGATGAGCTATCAATGAGTAAGTCCTTTTAATCCTGTGGTGCCTCAGTTTACTCCCCAGCCTCCAGTGGCAACTCAGTATGATTTGCTTATATTGCAAAACCAGGCAAAGCCTTATCCTCTCTCTCCACGGTAAGGGCTTAGAAGATTAGGCCAGTGGCACCATTCCCAGGAGGAAATAAACAGGAGCATTACAACAGTGGCTCTGATTGGAGCCCCTAAACTGTCAAATCTAATCAGGAGCCCTTGATCTGTCTACATTGCCTACAATGACACCGTCACCCGGTCACCTTTCTTCTCCTCTTTATGGAAATTTGGTATTTTTAAAGGTGGAAAAAGCCTCTCTAAGGAAATCTGAAATTTGGATCTAAACGGAGTTGATGGCATTTCTCTAATTTAGATATAAGCCCTGCTGTAACGCAAAACACCGCTCCGGATGCCAGCCTCTCGGCCTTTTTAGTTCTCTTTCATTTCAGGCTCCACAGCTCTTCTCACAGCGGGCCTCAGAGCGGGCCCGTTTCTGATCTCCTGTCTGCCGGTTAGTGCCCCTGAGCCAATTCCACACTGCTTTCTGACTGGTGAAGGGAGGCATCAGTCGGGCTCGGGAGCAGGTTTCTAAACCCCATGTCAGTAAGATCGCTTTTCATACCGTGTCTTTTCAGTCTACACCAGCAAGGCTTTTGCCTTCCGCTCCGATAAAGAGCAGCGAAAATTGGATAAATTTCTAAGTTGGAGAGAATAGTCCTACAGGGCCTCTTCACAGCCGGGTCCTGCTCCTTTCATGAGCCAGATGGGGTGGGGGCACTCTTTCAACTTGTCTTTTGTTGGGCCGAACAGTACGATTACAGGTAAGTCAGGAAGCAAGATGTAGGTCCCTAAAGATCCGGCTGTGCCTCTGACTCTGATAAACACATCATCTATTGACATCTCTCCCCAGCCCAGCGTTGACTATTCACACAGACCCCAAAAACAACACACCTGCCCTGGACCTCACCATCAAAGGAGGGAGAGAGGAGGGGAGCTGAGGAAAGTCAGGAATCCAAAGACGGCTTCAGAGAACAAACCTAAGAATAAACCTTCGCAAACTGCCCGCCCCAACCTGACCCGTCCAAATGCCAGATTCTGTCTTTCCTTATACTAACTTTGGAGCCCACTTGAGAATTTGTGGTTGTGACTTTCCAAGCACCCCCATTTTGGAGCAATCTCTTGCCAAGTGATGAGTGTGGGTACCATACAAGCAACTGTACCCAGGCAGTCCCCGGAGGAAGGGTGTATTTGTCACTGTATAAGAAGTAGCATCCTTACTAGCTATGAGGAAATATTTCATTATCTCAGTGCACACCCATTTTGTCTTGCAAAGAAGGGTTCTTGTTCTCACCCACAGAATAGCTTTACTGATCAAATGATGTTTTGGACATTGAGATGAGCTATGGGCTTCTGGGCTCTGGGTACGTGACACTGGAAGGCATCAAGAATACAGACTAGAGTGTCTGGGTCATAATACAGTCGCCCACGGAAGCCCGAGAGACTGGACCAAGGGTCAGGACACCAGAAGACCTGCCCCATCTCTTTTTAGTTCTAGGGGCTTGAGAAAGTCATTTCTCTGCCAGGTTGTGACCCAAGGTCGATGACTTAGATGATGAGGACCTCACATCTGCATCTGTAAAATTAAGAGTGATACTTATACCTATCTTAATATAAAATGAGATCATGCAAAGTATTGACACTAATACCTGGCCCAGGAAGTAGGGGTTCTTACCATACCACACTGGGAAAGGGTGGGGCACAGTATGTTTCAAGACCTCCTACAGCCCTGCTATGAGATCATGCAGGAGCAGAGAACAATAGAGTCATAAAAGACCAAACAGGCTCTGGAGGTCACTGCCATGTGTTCATGATGGATGCCCCCAGGCCAGCATGCATCTCAAGGGTCCTTCAAATGAAAGCAAAACTTGACATGACACCAGCAATCACAGCCTTGTAGAGGTTAGCCCAAGTGGGGAGTGTCTGGCCAGGGCAGAGAAACACAGGAGAAGCAGCGCAACCAATGAATTTCTGTTGAGGAGCTAGGGTGGCCCTGCAGTTAAGAGCACTTGCTGCTCCTACAGAGGACCATACCTCAGTTCCCAGCACCCAGCAACCATACAAGCCAACCCACAACTGCTTGTATCTCCAATTCCAGAGGGTATGATGCTCCCTTCTGGCCTCTGCAGGCATTATATTCACATAAGATGCACACACACACACACACACACATACACACACACACAGAGTTTTTAAAGGTCTGATGAGCTCAAGTCGAGCATGTGTTTCCTCTTCTATATAATCTAGCCATGCACCACAAACATTTGATAATGACTGCCGTGAAGCCGAAGCCCTAGGCATTATCCCTCACTGTGAAAGAGAGCTGAAGTTCGGGCTTCGTGCATCTCACCAATCATAGGCTAAAAGCAGTGCACGGGCATCACAAGGCCATGTGAAACTGAAGCAATCATTTCTTAGTCTTCATAACTGTAAATCAGATCCCGTTTTTAATTTTTAATATACAGTTGCCAGCTACCATTTCTCCTTTTGAGAGTATGTTTTCAATAGTTTTTAAATGTTAAACTTTTTCTTTCTTTTCAAAAATAACAGTAGCATAAATCATACCTTCAGGTGGTATTAATTTTTTTCCTTTTTTCTCTCCTTGGTAATGTAAAAGTTGGCATTATGCTGACCCTATTGTTAAGAGAAAATTTCCCTCGACTCTCGAAAGTCTGAGATCATGAGCCAGATCAAACCTGGCTGCTTTTCTGATTCTGGGATGTAGTCCAAGAAATAAAATAACTACTCAGGGTCACCTAGCCAGCTAAGGGCAGAGCTGGGTGAACATCCACCTTCTGGCTCAGCAACACAGTGTGATGAATCATTCATTAATAAGGTCATTATTATAGCAGCCAATAACCATTTGTGTGTGATACCCTGCTCATTGCCATAGACCAAGAGCAGACACTTCTCTGAGGGCAGCCAGAACTGGGGACTCGGTGGGGGACATAGGAAAGCAGCTGTCTCTTCTAGGACTCTGTGGGCCAGGCTTCAAGCTAAGCATAGCATATAGAACAGTTCTCAGCTAAAAACTGGCTTCTCAACCCAAGTTAACTTCGCTTCCCCAGGGACGTGTGGAAATGCCTGGAGACACCTTTCTACTTTGGTAATATACGCTTGAGACCTGGGGTGCCGCTAAGTGTCCCGCAGTGCTCAGAACACACTTCCACCAGGTACAAAGACGTGACAAGGGCCAACCAACAGCTGACAGTCTAAACTGGGAGTCGTTTCTTCTCAGCGTTGTCATAGGGCGCAGAAAGATGACAGGTGGCATTATGCCTTCCATTCTGTGTGTGCTACATGCCCACCGCATATGGTGACTTCACTACTGTCACCAAGGCCAAGACTGGGTAAGGATGAAGGACCTGTGCAAGCTCGCATGGCCAGTGTGGGGGAGTAGGATGTGCACCTCAGAAATGTGGCCCAGAGCCTTTCTACATGACATGGGGTAGAACTGTTTCTAACCCACCCCTGCCCCGGCTCGCCCTTGCTCTCGACTAGGACAATCCCTCTCTTTGAGAGCCTTTGAGTCTACACCTGTTGACCCAAGTTCACTACTGTGTTAAGATCCTCCGAGAAAGCAGGAGCTTGGAGAGTAGAATGTGAGCCCTCCTTACCAAGCCCACCCTACCAGCTGTCGCCACCCAGCGCTGCAGCAAAGGCAAAGATGTATCAGCCATGGCTGCATTACCATAGCCCTTCAGCCCGTCTTTCCCATCTCTAGGCCAATGCTCTGTGCTCCATCCCCTGAGACCTGGTCATTCATCCACATCGTGTGTGTGTGTGTGTGTGTGTGTGTGTGTGTGTGTGTGTGTGTGTGTGTGGTGTTCATAGTGTATACATACATGTTCACATCACAAGTGTATGTGCATGTACAAGCCTGCAGTTGGCATCGGGCATGTCCTTCAGTCAATCTGCACTTTATTGATTGAGGCAGAGTTTCTCACAGAACCTGAAGTTTGCTGATTTCTGGCTAAGCCAAGCTATCCAGCTTGATCTGGGGACTCCTGCCTCTATTATCTAAGTGCTGGCTTTTATGTGGGACTTGGAGGTCTAAACTCTGGTCCTCTCACTTCTGTGCCAAGTGCTTTGGTAGCTGTGCCATCTCCCAGCTTTACTCACGGGTTCTGTTTGTCACCACACATGCCACGACTGTTCCTGCTCATGTCTTTGTCTCGGAACTGACTGTCCTATTTGTATAGACTTCTCTATCCCCTTCCCTCCTTTCTTCAGATGTTGCTGTTCCTCTGAGAACTAGAGATGCCCTGCTGTAAATGGCACATAAGCTGGGTGGTGACGCATGTGGGCACCACCGTAACCAGAGCACTTCACAAGTTATGGCAGAAGCAGCTAACATCTGAGGTCATCCTGGGCTATATAGCAAGACCCTGCCTCAAAATAAAAAAAAAAAAAAAAAAAACAGAAAGATTGCATATATGCATGAATACACACACACACACACACACACACACACACACCCCTTCCCACCCCACTTCTGTGTTCTCCGTATCTCCCCAGCAGGTATCACCATCCGAGATATAAGGTATTGGCCCATGCCAATCACCATTAGTCTTCCCCAAGGCGGTGGAAGTTCCACAAGCACAGGAGATATTTTTTTACTCTTTTCCTGAAAACTGCATTCTCCCGGAAGGAGAGAAGAATTGAAGGGAAGAGAGGAAAAGAGAGGACAGGACAGTGGATGGGAGAGAGGTCAGAAACTCAGAGCAGATATTCAGGTGAAGAGAGACGAAAAACAAGATACGCCAGCAATGTGCTGGCCATATAGTGGCTGCTCAATAAATGTCAGCTGAGGAAATAATCCCTACCTGGAGGACATAGGCCAAACAAGGACAGAGAGGGTTCAAAAGGTCAAAGATGAACCCTGGGTATAGTGGAACGGAGGTGGGATTATCAACACTGTGTAAGCCTTACCTCACTCTGTAGGGCATGGGCTTTCTTGGCCCAGGCCATCTTCAGATCCTCCGGCAGAGCAGTGAACTCGTGGCACTGTGTCCGGTAGTCATGGTCACTGGCCAGGGCCTGGGCCTTCCTGGCGTGGACCAGGTGCACCATATCCATGGGCAGGTGGCACTGGGCTTGGCTTCGGGCCGCCTCCTTCTTGTACTGATTCTCGCTCTGCAGCTGGCCCATCCGCTGGCAGTGCCGTAGCCTTGGGTCATCACTCGCACTCCGGACCCCGATGAGCCGTCCCCGCTCCTTCACAAAGTCATGCCTATAGAGAAACTAGAAGGGACAGCCATCTGGTTAGGGGCCAGCATGCAGCTAGCACGTACTCACCTCTCAACGGGACATAAGCATGTGTGTCTGCTTGGTTAACTCCATCACGGGCCAAGGGGAGGGAGCACCTCTTATGATCCAGGTAGTCGTGACTCTAAGAGCTATCACAGGCATTTGGCCCGAAGCATGCCTCCCTCCCTCCCTTCCTTCTTTTCTCCCTCTTTCCTTCACTCCCTCAGGGCTGAAGGATGAAAACATTAGACCTCCCTTCCTATCTAATTAAAATCAGATCCTTAGAACCTCAGGAAGCACCCTGTTCCCCTTGGGTATCCTGTGGCCTAAAGGAATTTCATCAAAAAGGGCAAAAAAGGAAACTTGTATTTTATCCACTCATATTTGGAAAAGCATTAAACCCCAAAGGCAGGTTCTGCTCATTTGAAATCCACATCTTCTGTGATTTGTTTGTAGGAAAGAGAAGTCACCTTCATATCCCAAAGCTATGGACATAGGAAGCACAGTTGGCGGATTGTGGCGGGAGAGTCGGAGGCAAGGGGAGGAAACCGCCATCTCCTTTCTGTCCTTGTTCTGGGCAGGGCTGCAGACAGGCAGCTCCCATGTGACCACTGTCTGCACTTTACAGTAAGACCTGAGTCATGGGCTCCTTCAGCCAGAGACCTCAGCGTGAATTTAAACCATGTTCGGCCCTAAGGACCTCGTTCAGAGCTAACAGATTCTGCAGGTGATGTCTTGTCTCACACAGGTATAGATTTGCTTTAATTTGGGAAAAATCAGCCTCACACATTGTTTTCTATGAAGTTAACAGAGAGGAGGCAAGATGAAGGTCAGAGCGTCCACTCACGTCACTGGCTATGTCCCCGGATGCCCGCGCAGCCTGGAACGGGAGAGCATCTATAGTCAGCTTGTAGCCTTGAGCACGAAGATTATGCCAAGACTCCTTGTATTTTGCCTAAAATGGGAACACATGTATATCTTTTTAAAAAATACATGAATCAATGAACAAAGGCTGCATGCCCTTTAATTTGTAGCATGGTGTACTGTAATCCACTTGTGAGCGGCAAATGATCTCTGTTTCACAGAGCAAACTCTCGTTAGCTGTGCCCCGTGGTAGGCTCTGAGCATACATGTACATATAACACACATAGATTTTACAGAGGCATCTAGAATGGGTGCTTTTGTTGAAGCTTCAGCAAATGGTGGAGAGGTGGCCATCAGATCACTTGCGTGACACCACGCTGGTGACTTTGCAACACGCTTGAACTTCAGCAGGGAGGAAGACTTGCCTCGCTCAGGTTGTCTGCATTGGCTTTCGCTCGGGCGAACTCGGGCAAACCAAGAGTCATGGTGTACTGGTGTCGGGCATCCTCGCCAGCTGCTTTGTAGAGACGCTGAACCCAAGTGAAAAAATAAATGAACAGTGAGAAGCTTGGCAGTGGACACCTCCTTGACAAGCGGTGTGCATGTCCTGTGTGTGCAGTTGGGAAAGCATGCCAGCGGAAAGCACCTTGGACACAGGTGCAGCCTGGGTTACCAGGACATTCCCTTTGGTAAAGTAAGGCTGTGTGAGTGAAATCGAGTAAAACGGAAGAACCGTGTAATGAACTGCAGTTTGTTCCACTAGATGCTGCAGAAGGTGAACAGGTAGAGACTATCCTGAAATCCGTCCCCCTTATACAGCACAGACCCTCTGAGACCTGGGGCTTACAGCAGAAGAGCTTCCTGTAGAAAGAGGCAGCCCAGCTGGGCAGTGGTGGTGCACACCTTTAATCCCAACACTCGGGAGGCAGAGGCAGGCGGATCTCTGTGAGTTCGAGACCAGCCTGGTCTACAAGAGCTAGTTCCAGGACAGGCTCCAAAACCACAGAGAAACCCTGTCTCGAAAAACCAAAAAAAAAAAAGAAAGAAAGAGGCAGCCCTGGTCTTCACCCTTCCCTGGTACCAGAGAGCAAGCTGAGCTGGGGCTGCCCTGGAAGACTTGTCCCTATGCTCAGAAGTGGCCAGTGCTTGCTGACTTCTGCAAGGTCAGAGCCCCTCGTAAAACACAGTCACCCTGCTGCCCACAATTTAGAAAGACGGAGCGAGGGCAAGTGATGGCCTCTCTGTGCAAGATGATGAGCTCTGTCTCTTTGGGGCATCGTTATCCTCAGGTGACACCTCCAGCTTCAGAAGGTTTGGCTCAGATGCGGAGGTGAATAGCAAAAATAGCCAGATTTCCACGTAGCTTCTGAAAGCTAGTGTTTGGAGAACCTTAAAAAGAGAAAACGATCTGCTAACCTGTGTCTGCTCAGCTGGCGTCAGAGCCGCAGCAGGACGGCAAGCCAGCGGGCCAGGGAGATCATTTCGGCAGAGGAGACCCCTTCCTTTCCTGTTATTTTATACTGGGAGTGGTAAACGTTGGGGTGAATACACTGACTGAACTGTGAGTGAGGTTCAGACGAGGCAAAGGTTCACGAATCCAGACAGATCTTGTACTCCAGACCTGCCCTTGGGTAACCACAAGGCCTCCATAAATGAACATTGTATTTGTTTGCCACCACCTGCCTAGAACAGAAGCACACGCCAGCATTTCTCAGATTCATATGTGTGAAGGAGTCAGCTGATGGCCTTGTCTGCTGTCTTTTTGGATCCAGCCACTCCAGGGTGTGACCTGAGGCTGGGATTCCAGCCTGCTCCTGTCCAGAGGAGCCAGACCACAGTCTAAAGCAAATGCCCAACTCCTTCCTGATGGAGGAGGGTCATCTGTCTATGTGTGACTTTCATTGGTTAAAAAAGAAACTACCTTGGCCCTTTGATAGGACAGAAAATTAGGTAGGCAGAGTAAACAGGATGCTAGAAAGAAGGGAAGTGAGACAGACGCTATAGCTCTCCTCTCCAAGATGGACTCAGGTTAAGATTCTTCCCGATAAGCCACCACCTCGTGGTGCTACACAGATTATTAGAAATGGGTTAATCAAGATGTGAGAATTAGCCAATAAGAGGCTGAAACTAATGGGCCAAGCAGTGTTTAAAAGAATACAATTTGTGTGTTATTATTTCGGGTGAAAACTAGCCAGGCGGCTGGACGCTGGGAACGCAGCCCACTGCTCCTTCTACAGAGTGGGGCTACATTTTCCTTTCCTCCAGAAGATGTGTTAGGTTCTGTATGAAATGGTCTTTTCTTTCCAAATCCCTCATAAACTCAAATGCCTTTCTCCCTCTGGGCCCATAATAATTCATGCATCCCCCTCCCCCTTTAATCTAGCCATCCTTAAACTGCCATGGAGACTTTACCTCATTGGTGATCTGGTTGCTGAACTTGGCATGCAGAAGGTCTGGAGTATCTGTCACAGCTGTGTACTTGAATGACCCAGGATGTTGGCGGTATTTACTCTGAGAAAGGAAGACAAGATGGCTTGGTAAGGGAGAAAACAGTTAATGCTGTAAATCTTAATTAAAGGTGTGTGTGTGTGTGTATGTATTGTATGTATAAGTTTGTGTGTGGTGTGTATGTGCATGTGCTGTGTGTGTATGCTATGTACGTGCTCTGTGTGTGTGTAGTATATGTGTAAGTGATGTGTGTGGTATATGTGTGTATGACATGCATGTGAGTATTCTGTGTGTGTGTGTGTGTGGTGTATATGTGTGTTGTGTGTATGGTGTGACTATTTAGTTATTTATTTAGTTTTTACCGAGAAATCAGCAAGTACATAGCTGCTGTTTCAACACAGTTGTCAGAGAAACCCTGGGCTTGAATCGGTGCCAATCCTTACAAAGCCAAACCGAGATGTTCTATATAACCCCATGTGACTAATTTAGAAGCTGGGGATCAGAGAGGACAGGTAACTAGGCTGAGGTCACAAAGCAAATGAGAGCTGACCTAGAATTTCCATCCCTTATTTGTTGGTTTCCAAAGCCTGCCTGTTCTCCATTGTACCATAGGGCTGCCCTTCAAAGGGCCTAGGAAGAGTACATCTTAGGAGCTCCTGAATCAGTCTTATGTATTAATAGAGGAACTGACTTGATAGTCTTGTGTGTGTGCATGTGTGTGTGCACATGTGTGTGTGCGTGCATTGTGCATACATTTGTGTGCATGCATGTGTGCGTACGTGTGTGTGTGTGTGTGTGTGTGTGTGTGTGTGTGTGTGTGTGTGTGAAAGCCAGAGGTCAATCAATGTTGGGTGTCTTTCTCTAGCCCCCTCCACTCCAGGTCTCTCACTGAGCCTGGAGCTCACCGATTCAGCTAGACTTATAGGCCAGTGAGCTCCAGGGATCCTCTGCCTCCACCTCCAGAGAACTGGGATTACAGATCCACACCACAGTGCCTGGCTGCTTCAGTGAGTGCTGGGGATCTAAACTTAGAGCCTCATGTTTGCTCACTGAACTTTACTGCTGAGCCATCTCGCCAGTCCCCAGTAAACATTCTTACACGGTCTGAATGGAAACTCCAGTAAGAACTGCACTAGGCAAAAGGTGACAGCTTAACCTCCAATGGCCTGAGCAGGGGGACACAAAGCCCCTGATGTGTCTGCCACGCATCCCACACTACCATCCCCCACTTGGAGTTCCACCTCACCTCACTGATGAGCTCGGATGCTTTCTTTCTTCCTTCAATCTCCAGCGTGCCAGGGATGACACAGGGAACACCACGCATGAAGTTCAAGTCCGAACGGTACAGATTCTACCCGGAACAGACAAGCGTCAGAAAAGCAAGCCTCCAAACAAAGAAGCCAGAGTAGCCAGGGTCTCGGGACACTGTCTGTAAGCACACGCCTAGAACTCCAGGCAGCATCGATCTGTCTGTGCACAGATGTGGTGCCACTCAGCAACGGCACATGAGCGCCTCGGTAAAGGCTCGTCTGGGAACACGTGGGTCAGAAGGAAATCATCCGCTATCACTTCTCTGTGAGTAGATGTGACAGGGAGGCCGGACGGAGTTCTGTTTTAATGTGAACTATCAAATCATAAACGCTGGAGAGGGTTGCGGCTAGAAAGTCAGGTGTCTTGGGGCCAATGTACAAATGGTTTAACTGATCTTTCAAACAAAAGCCTGCAGCAGCGGGCGGTATTAATTAATCATGGGTTAAGGAAGAACTAATGAATCAATCCAAAATAACTTGGCAAAGACCCATTGTGGACTGTACCTGTGTGGGGAAGGGCAAGAATCAGCTTGGTGGTTTGGAATGACAGTTTAAAGAGTCCCCGAATCTACGCCCCTTAGACAGCAGAGTACCCCCTGGGTGAGCTGCCTTCCGGTTGTCACCACAGCAGCAGACAGGGTAAGTGACAAATGGCCTGAGATGAGTGTGGCAGTTCCCTCATCCCTATAGCTACACTCCTGACAGTTTGTGTCATTCAGTAAGTGCTGTCCACAGGCACGATGCTCAAGAGATGACAGATTCTGGATCTGAGCCCTGCTTGACTTGCACGCACTGCTGAACCAAGACAGAGGTCTCCCTTTCCTCCACAGGGCTTCTTGCTTGCGCATGCCTGGAACAGGCAGACCTAGCAGGCTGGGAAGGAAGGTGGGTACCAGGATGCTGCTGCCTTTGGGGAGGGCACACGTCACTGCTTCATGTATGTGAGGCTGCCTAACTCCCCTGTGCCTCATTGCCTTGAGGAACAGGTATCAGGAATTAAACATGTCACCAGAGGAGTAAAGATGTCTCACAAGGACCGAGACAACCCGGGAGGCATTGCCAGTGCCTGACTGCCTGGCCTTGATCTATGTTCTTCCCATAAAACAGCAAGAAGGGTTTCCACCCAACCCAAGACCAGGGGCAAAACTGGAAAATCCTGAAAACCCACAAACCCGTGTGGCATCTCACCCATTCCTCGAGTACAGTTGATTCACCTTAGATGACTGATTTGCCTGCCTGTGTCTTGGACAATTTCTCTGGACAAGGGAATTGTTAATGTGGGAATATGGTAGGGGCTAGATGAGGTCATCTCAATGCTTTGAATACAGTAGAAACACTCAAGGCTTGGCGACAGTTCTCCCTAGAGCATTGCAATTAACTGTGCATTTGGACCCTGTGAGAGCTCTTGGGCTCTCTGTTTAGGATCTCTGACCTCAGGAACCTCTGGGGGCTTCACAGAGCCAAGAGGAACTTGAGGGTCCCTGTCTTGTGATATAAAATGCTAGGAGAAGGGCCCCGAGGGAGAAGCCCGGGCTCTTTACCTCACACTGCAACTTGTGAGCTTTCTTGGCACAGCTCAGCCTCAGGTCTTCAGCCAAGGATGTGTGTTGGGGGAGCGGGTGTCTGTAGTCCTGGTCGCTGGCCAGGTTCTGAGCCTTCTTGGCATGCACCAAGGTTACCATGTCCAGCGGCAGATGGAAGTGAGTCTTTGAGTGTTCAAAGGCTTTCTTATAACTCACCTAGAGGGGCAGACAGATCAACAGCCACTATTTCAAAGCTACTATTTGCACAGGACCATCAGGGACAACAGCTATGATGCAGTTGTCTCATCAGCCAGAGATACTGATGCAAGGCCATACCCCTCCTTGCAGACACTGACCTAATAAGCATGCTTGAGTTTGGTTTCTAACTTTGCAACTCTTGGGCTCTGAAAGTCACTCTTTCTAGCTGACTCTGAGAAAGGGACTGAGCCACTCAGTCTCCTTATCAATAAGCCAGAATGAATACAAAGTCAGAGGTTAATGCAAACCAGGTGCCTTCATTTAGGTGAGCACAGATAAGAATGAAGTGGGATGTGTGTGTACGTGCATGTGTACTCATGTGCATGTGTGTATGTATGTGTGTGTGCGTGCATGCGTACCCGTGTACACGTGTGTGCATGAGTACCCATGTGCATGTGTGCATGTATGTGTGTGCATGCATGTGTACCCATATGCATGTGTGTGCGCATGCATAACCATGTGCATGTGTATCCACGTTCATGTGTGTATGCGAGTATGTCTGAATAAGTACATACTCTATCTACACAGCTAAACTACGAGCAACTTCATCAGACTGTAGCTCCAGGAATCCAGTCTACCTCCTAACCAGCAATCTAGAACTTCTTGCATAAATCTTTCTCCATTTCTAAACATTTGCAGGAATTCGCTCTATAGTGCACACATGTGTGCATGCACACACACACAAATCTCTGCAGACCAAACACATCCCACAGACCACCTAAATCCAAATCAAAGAATGCCCATCCCTGCAAGGAACTAGGGGTTCCACAAACCCAACCTCGTTTTATGGTGGAAGCAGCTGAAACCCAGAGGTGATTTCATAACTCTACACAGCAAACTGGCACCAGAAGCATCAGCCACTTCCAAGAGGCCGGCCACCTGAACTGGCTGTGCCAGGAGCGTCGTCAGGTGGGCCCCAGAGCTCCCTCCGTCTCCTCCCACTTACACCGCTCTGCAGCGAGGTCGCATGTACTGCGTGTGCGAGGCTGAGGTCATCTTCCAAGCCCCGGGAGCCAAGCATCTGTCCTTTCATTCTCTCAAATGCTTCTTTGTATTTGTACTAAAGGGAAAGAGAGCGGGAGAGAGCACCGGCTCAGGGACAAGGGACACAGAATGGAAGAGGTGGGTATTAGGCGAAAATGTTTTGTTCTTTTGACAGTAACTGGGTGAGTTGAAAGGAAACGCGCAGGAGTCGTCGAAAAGTCTATTCTTTCATATGCAAGACTCCCAATGACTAAAGGGTTCCAATTTGAAACGGCAGAAGCGTTAGCACTTGGGCGGCCCGAGCTGGGAGAAGGTGCAGGCATTGTTAGCAGGCTCTTCACAGGCCGGCTTTATGAAAACTCTTGGTGGAGGGTACATTTCATCTGCCCAGGTTCCATGTTTACAGTTGGGCATTCGGCTTTGTGCCCCAGGCTAGGGAATTTTTTGTGTAAGATGCACTCTCTCTCACCGGTCATTATCCGGTTTGCCCTGACACAGTCAGTGTGGACAGGAGAGGATATTATATCCACAGGCAAAAGAAGGCAAGAGTGAGAGGTAAAAGAACTGCAAACAGGTTTGGATTAAAGTCGTCACCGGATTGGAAGCTTACATCACTTATAATGTCGCCGGACGCCTTGGCTGCCTGGAATGGAAGGGCATCCAATCTCAGCTTGTAGCCGCCGTCCCGAAGTCGGCTCCAGGACTCCTTGTAGCGTGTCTGCCAGGGAGAAAGACACACATCTGATGGTCTACGTTCTGTTTTTCTCCAACAGGGATCTGGTTGGCAGTGGGTCTCTCTCTCTCTCTCTCTCTCTCTCTCTCTCTCTCTCTCTCTCTCCCACCCACAGCCCCATCTGGGAGCTAAAAATCACTGTGGTTTAGAATGGATTATCCCACCTCCCATCCAGCCTTGGCAGGGGAAGCCAGAGAGGGGACTGCTTACAAACAAAGGCTCTGAAGTCTGATAGACCTAGATCTGATTGAGCAGCAAGCTCATTGGATTAAGAAAGCCTACGGCTGTGTTTGGATAACTCATTATACAAGATAGAGAATAGCCAAATGCCTCAACCAAAGACCGGGAGTGGTGGGCAGAAGGGTTCTTATAGAAACTACAGAGGGGAAGAGTTAACATCCCCAGATGTGTCCTTGGCACAACCACCAGCTACATGGAGCTCTACTGAGATGCTTCTATTGCATTTCAGCTCCTGCCTCCAAAGGCCTCCGCAGGAAGGCAGGGACTTCTCCTGCGTCATTCCCCAGTTAGTTTCTGTCTTGCCCTGGACCAGCTATTTAAAGGGCCCACCACAAACTCAAGTGTGGATCCCCTTGGTCAGAGAAGTGATAAATATCAACCTAGTGACAGCTCAGGGCACCACGCATGCCCATGAAGACACACCGCCCTCCTGTCTCTAAACTCAGCATCATCCGGAAGATTCACCTCACTGATGTTCATGGCATTCAGCTTGGCCAGCAGGACTTCAGGCAAGTCCACCGTCTGCGTGTAATGGTGCTTTATGCTTTCTCCTTGCTCCCTATACAATCTCTGTGGGTCGAGAGAGGACTTTGCATTAAACCCAGAACCTTCCCCATGCAGCCAGCAGCCACGAGGCGGAGGATCCACGGCTGCTATATCATCCTAGAGACCTGATCACCCAGCCTCCACCCAGGGCTCTCCTGCCTGGCACAGTGACATTCACGGCACTCTCTCCTCGGTTCTATTTTCCAACTCAGAGCATGGCAGGTGGAAATGGTCCCCACCACCAATGCTACACTCTTAAGGACCACTGAGGCAAGTGTCAGCTGGAGAAAATGAGGTCTGGCCACGCTCGACTCATCCGGCTATCCACTCAAGCTGTGCAACAGGGAATCGTGACCCAGAAGGTGCACAGGTAATGACCATTCTGCAGGGATGTTTCCAAGGGCTGCCTCTGCTTTCTTCCCTTCCCCACCATCTGGGATCCCTGACCCAATCAATATCCCCCTAGGAAGTTCAGGTTTCCTTTCCCAGAACTCCACGTGAGCTCCGGGCAGCCTGGAGTTTGCTAGATGACATACAGAGTTAGCATAGCACCTAAGAAATTTTCTAAATCATGTTTTTCCATCCTAGCCCCTATCAGGCCTGTCCAAGGTTCTACATATTGCAGCAGCACCCCCTAGAGTTGGTTAGTGTTAGGACACAACACGTGTTTTTCTTCCTCAAGAAATTCTTGTCCAACCGTGTTTCTCAGAATTCAATGTGATGCTAATGAACAGGTAAACAAGAACTCAATTCCTAAACCAAAGTATGGGACTCACTAGATCTCACAGCCTAAAGAGTACCTAGGCCTTTTGGGGGTGCCTGTAGAGAAAGATACAACCAGAATTTCTCATAAAGCCATAGAGGGGATTTTGAAAGCAGGATGCCCAAAAATGGTCAATATTTTTGCATGTCAGAAGTTGGCTATTTTAAGATATTAAAAGCCAGGTCTACCTTACACACAGACTCTTTGCTCAGTAGTAACAGCCAGTTAATTCCTGTGCTTAGGATAGGTTTTTATAAGACCTCAATGTTCCATTTAGTCTCTGGTGAACTGAGCATGGGGTCAAATCTTGGTTTCTGACAATATACAGAATGTGGGTGTGGCTTAAAAGCCAGGCTTATATCCACAAATCAGACTCAAATCATTTCTTAAAGCTTGGAGAAATGAGAACACAAGGTCAATCCCTGCCCTTGGATCCCAGGAAGCCCCAAGCAGGGCTTCGTCATCCCAATTAGACAGAATTTTACCCCAAGTTCTAGCTCTGAAAACATCATTTGGGACAAAAGGAAAAGGGGGAGGGGGCCTCCTAGTTACAAATCTTTAAGCTATGCAAATACAAGGAAGGAGAGCATCTGAGGGGCAGTGGGGTGCAGAGCCCCACTTGGCACACTGAGTACAGGAACGCCCCATTTGCATCCTAATGAGAAAGCAACCCTGCAGAGGAGAGCTTCATAAAAGACAAGGGGACCCTTCATCCTCAGGACGACAGAAGGAGCAGGCCCGAGATCCCCTGCGCTTCAATCAGGCCGCTGAAAGAGAGCCCACTCTCGGGCTCATAATGTATATACATTATCACTTACATCCACTGCTTGGGTATAACTAATCCTGGCCTGGACCATCTCCGGAGTGTCTTTAATACTGGTGAACTTCAAAGCATCTGGATGCTGACGGTACTTCTTCTGTTGAGCAGGCAAAGATCAAAGCTGTGAATTTTGTGCTGCTCTTTCATGCCATTTGAAAGAGAAAAATCACAGTTGCTTGAGATTAGAGTGAATTTGTGAACATAATTATTATTCGGCTTCCTCCATCTTTATATCCTAGGTACCTTCAGGTTAATATTTGTTTCAATTTAAGAATAACCTCATGTCAATTAACATTAAAGTAGTTCTACCCGGTGCAAAGACAACATCTCAAAATTAGATTACACCAGTAAAATACTGTAGGGTGCACGCTTCCAAAGTCAGTCTTTCCAGGGCGTCAAACCCTGCACACTTCCAAAGTCAGTCTTCCAGGGCGTCAAGCCCCGCGCTGCAGTTGTTTACATATCTTAGTGTGGCAAGAAAGCGCATTCCCGGTTACATTGATCGGCTGAAGCTTTCTGTTTTCCTTTCCCGGAATGATTTGGCAGGCATTAACCCATTCAAGACCCGGCCTTTAACATGCAGGGTGCGTTCACTTTAGACCATGGCCCCTTCAGCATATGTGGTGATGCTCAAAGCTATGGCACAGATAAGGAAAAGGATACCATTGCCGTCACTGAAAGTTGTTAGAGCGTTTGGAAGATGTCGAATGCATGCATTAAACAAAACACAAAGTAACAACAAAAAAAAAAGTGTGAATGCTGGCACAAAGCTAAATTACTCATGTTGGAGAACTCTGGATAACACGATTAAGTTTGCTCCCCTTTCTTTGAATTTTTTAGGGCCTGGAATATTATAATTTTAATGGTATGATGGAGTTTATTTCCCCCAAATCATGTTATTTTCTAAACACCTGCTCATGGTCTGCTTGGATTTGTACATATTGCACTACACTGTCTTAGGTCCACTTAATCTGGTCAGCTGCCTGTGTTTTGTAAATGAAGCCCCGCACATTCACTAACAAACGAATGCTCGCCATTCCAGCTAGTTGTGAATCAGCAAAGTTATAAATATTTACTACCCGGGGGCTTCACAGAATAGCCCTAATGAGTCCTGCTCCACAAACAGGGTGTGTGTGTGTGTCTTTGTCTATGTATGACTGCATGTATACATGTATGTGTATGTGCATGAAATACATGTATATATGTTTGTAATGTGTGAATTTATTTACACATGTGTGAATAGATGTATGTGTGCAAATATGTGAATGCACATGTGTGTATTGTGGCTGCATTTACACATGTGTAAATGCATGTGTGTGCATATATGTATGAATGCATGTATACTGGTATATATGTGTGTATATGAATTTGAAAGTGAGTGCATGAATATATGTGTGCTTGTATTTGTGAACTCATATATTGTCCATGTGCATGTGTGTGTGAGTGAATGCATGTATATAGTGTGTATGTAATTGTGAATTCATATATTGTGTGTGTGAGTTAATGCATGTATATCTACATGTGTGTATGTGTGTGTAAGCGCGTCCATATTCATTTGTGGCTCTTTCAAAAGGGTCTGGTGTTCTCTCTGAAAGTTAATCATCCCAATTTGACAAGAACCTAGAAACATCAAATAGTCGGGGAAAGTTATTAAAATAGATCTCGCCTGATACACAGTTTGAAAACTGGTCTGAAGCAGAGATGCTAAGAAATCAAGCAGCTGTCTTGAGAAAGGCTGCAGAATGAGGAAAGGGACATGGCACAGTTACGTCACTGTGGGCAAAGGACTCCTCTGCCAGTCTTCGGTGCCAGACTTAGACACATGAGGGAACCACCTGGGAGCCTGGATTGGGCAGGATAAGGACCTCCTTTCTGGAAGGGCTCGATGCTGAGAGTGTGGGTTGGTTAATCCTCGAACCTAGATGTTTGCTCCCACAGCGTCTCATGTTCGTACTCCTGAGAGGGCCTTTCTGTAGCCACACTGAAAAACACAGGGCAGCACTGACCCTGCTGAGGTCTCAGGGTTCTTTGGGTCTTAAGTGTTGAGTAAGGTCTCTGAAAATGAGGTCAATGGGCACAGGACAAGTTCAGGAGCGTCCACTCATGTGCAGTAACTAGAATGCAGCCCCACAGGAAACTGCAACATTGAGCAAGGGCCTTACAAAGCCAACATGGCTGTCGCTGTGCCCTAACGGGGCATTCAATAAGAAACTCTCTTTGAAACAATATCTCAGGAGCCTCGCAGGGTTATACACACTAAAGGTTCCTTCTTGGACAAGTCTGCTCTAAAGCCAGTGAAATATTCCTTTGCCTTCTGGAGACAGCCATTCCCAACAGGCATGGAGAGGGACGGATTTGGAACATTTGATGGTGCGGGGCCTATGATGATTTTCCAGTCACGACTCTCAGAGGTGCTCTGGGCTGCCACAATTCTGTCCCGCGGTGTCCCCCCTCCCCCCCGGAGGGCATCTGCCCACGTCTGCAAGCTTTTAGGTTGCCACCACTGGCAGAGAGTGCTTCTGACATCTAAAGGCCAGAGAGACTCTGCTGACCGTCCCCAAAGACCCTGCATGGCACCAAAAAGAATCGTGCCAAAAAGAATCGACAAGGTGTTGCTGGCACTGAGGTAGAACCCTGCCCTGACTGGGCCAACCTTAAAACTGCCGCCCAGCGAGGCTGCTGAGAGACTCTGTGAAAGGGTCTTCCCATACACGGAACCGCCTTAAGGTCAGCTAGGGTGACTGGAGGCTGTCAAAAGTGAGGTTGGAAACAGCAGAAGGGATGTGTCCCTCCCAGGAGAAAGACCCGACTCTGTCCCTGTGTTGGGCAGCGATGTAAATATTCACCAACTGTTTACACTGTGGTAACAGAGGGAGAAACGCGCGTGAAGTCATGAAAAGGCTTCCTGGGTGCCCCCGACGTACCTTTCCATCGAGTCCACCTGCCGCTTCATTACGAAGGTAAGGGGCAGATGGCAATTGAGCTCTGTTTGGCTGTCATTATTATACATAATGCCACTTGTCACCCACTTTGTTTTTGCTGGGATTCCGCAGGCCCCTCCTGGTGTGTGTTTGGTATGTGGCTTCTCTCTAATTACCAGCCCTAGTCCGGCTTCGGAGGCCCTTTCATGTGCCTTTGCCTTTCGAGTGGAAATTATTTTAATTTTATACAGAAATGCCGCACGCCTAATGCACCAAGCCCGGCACACGCACTGTCAGGAAATCTCACCTCACTAATGAGTTCTCCTGCCTTCTTCGCCTGCTCCACATTTAATGACCCGGTGGCGACCCAGCCCGTGCCTTTCATCCACTTCACATCTGCCCTGTATTGGTTCTGACAAAGGAGAAAGGAAGGGGAGAGGCAGGCCTCTGTTACTGCGCAGACATGCAAAGGGCTGTTAGCAGTTCCCAGTGTGCCCTCGGTGCCAGCTGAGTCAAATTAAATGCCACTTTGTCTTATCTGTTTCTGAAGAGTCATGGGTGAGGCCCCCAAATACACAATTAGCCCCCTTTTAATCAGAGGTCTCCCTGTAGACGGTGGCTTCTGGCCCTACCCAACACTATCTGGAGTACACAGAGGTGCACAGTCAGCCTCATCAGGGACACGTCTTCCCCTGAACAAAGCATCCTCACTGTCTGCTGTGGCAGTTTTCTCATTTAGAATGACATGCGGGGGAGAGGACAATGATGGCCTACAGCAGAACCCAAGTAGGAGCTCCTGGAGAGACCCTCACACAAAACCCGGGTCTTCCCAGGGAGCCACTTCCTTCCTCCGACCACTGTGGGGCATGGAGCAGAGTTGCCATCTCTTCACCAGCTATGAATGAGTAGTTTTAATGAAACTGTTTAAAGAGAGACTTTTCTCTAAAATCAGTCCATTCTCTCTCTCTCTCTTTCTCTCTCCCTCTCTTTCTCTCTCTCTCTCTCTCTCTCTCTCTCTCTCTCTCTCTCTCTCTCTCACACACACACACACACACACACACACACACACAGAGAGAGACAGACAGACAGACAGAAAGAGAGAGCGACAGAGAAACCTATATGTAACAGCCTGGCTATAACTGACCTGCTCACACATTCTTTTCCAAGAACCAACCAAATACAGAAAGAAAATAGAATTAAGCACAGGGTACAAAGAGGAAGGAGAGGGGGCTGTTGAAGATCCATGAGCTACTCATTAAAAAAGTGGGGACCTTTAGAGCTGGAATGAGGGGTGAGTGACTCTCTCAGAGTTGACCATGGCTGGGGAAGTCACCAATGCATTCAACTCTAGCATCAAAGGGAAATCTAGAACATGCGTCAATCAGAATTCCAGAAAAGAAGCTCTGTCTCTCTGACTGTTGGTATATAACTTCAAGTCAGGATGAGCACAATTAACCCGGAGGAAGTAAGAGTGCTTCCCCTGAGGAGTCCAGAAATATGTACCCCAGAAACATGAATTGTTGCCCCAAAGATCTGGTGAAACAACAGGTTTCAAAACGACAACAACAAACCCAGCACAGGCATACACACACACACACACTGTATACATATACACACATAGTATACACACATTTCACACACACTGTACACACAGTAACTACACACAGATTATACACACACACTGCACAACACTGTACACACACATTGTACACACACACACACACAAGCTCAGAGCTTACATCACTTTGCAGGCCGTAGGCCTTCTTGGCCCACTCCACCTTCATGTCTGTGGGCAGAGCCGTAAAGCAGTTTGAAGCTGTCCTGTAGCCCACGTCTGTGGCTAAGTGCTGTGCCTGGCGGGCGTGGGCGAGGTGGATCATGTCGAGGGAGATGTGGCACTGAGACTTGGTGTCCTCAAAGCCTTTCTTGTACTCCAGTTCGCTCTGTAGCTTGGACATCTGCAGTGAGTGGCTCATGCGTGAATCTCCCTGTGCACTCTGTGCTCCGATGAGTTTTCCTCTGGATCTTTCATAGTCTTCCTTGTACTTCACCTAAGGTAAAACCACACAGCTTTCCCACATGAGCCCAGAGGCTCAGGGAGACGAAGATTCTGCCCAGACAAACAGCAGCAGAGCCGTGCATCTTCCCAGTGACCGACGGACTCACCTCGCTGGCCAGGTCTCTCCTAGCTTTGGCTATCAAGAACGTCAAGGAGTCGAGTCTCAGCTCAAATCCTTTTGCCTTCTGCCTTTCCCAGCTGCTCTTGTACAGCGTCTGGGGAGACACAGGAGAGCAGCGGTCATCCGTGGTGAGATGACCAGGGCCTCTGGACTCTGTGAAACCTTCCTAGGAAGCACAGCAACACAGCCTTCCCTAGCCTGAGAACCCTGCCTCTTTGTCCTGCCCAAAGGCCTCTTGACACGTTGCGCTTCCATCAAAAGAAGCAAAGACTAAACCTCAAAAGGCTTTAGAAACATACCCTAGGAGACTTACAGAAGTCTCATAAACATCTCAGATGCCATGACATCCACGGGACAGCATTGGAAGGTCTGTCCTCTGGGTCCGCCCACACACACCAGCAGCAGGACTCTCTCCTGCACCATCCCCCTCCGGCCTCCAGGCCCTGGGGCCTTTCTTTGCCCTCCCATCCCAAACCCCTGCCTCTACATTCTAAGGTCTTTCTTCTAGAAGGCCTCCCTTCCTTTCAGTGTGGGAATCACTTCATCCTCTCCCCTCATTCTATCTCTCCTGCCACCACTGTTCTGACTCTTGGAGTAACACATGGAATCCATTCTGTGACGTAAGAACCCTGCCATCCAATGCTAGGAAGGTGGCTTTCCTCTTCCCTGGTTCCTTGGTCAGTACCCAGATCCTCTGGGATGACCAGATACGCTCTAGTTGAACCAGACACCACCAGTGTGACTGGTGGGTTTGATGACCAGGTAACTGTAGAGATACTGGGAGCACAGCCCACATGTGCCCACTCCTTGTGTGATACCTCACTGAGTTGAGCAGCATTGGCCCGGGCTTGCAAGAAGAAAGGCTCGTCTTTGCTGATGCTGTACTGATGGATAGACTGCTCATTGTCAGCCTTGTATGCCACCTGATGAGAGAGAGAGAGAGCAGGGTTGGGGAAGGATAATGGTGTGTCACCATCATAACTGGCGCCACATACACGGAATCAAGGACGCTGGGGTAAATACAACAAGCCAGGCACACAGGCCACATGATGTCACTCGTGTGTGGAAACTGAAAAAGGTGACCTCATAAAAGTAGAAAAAAAGGGGGGAGGGGACAGGAGTCAGGGAGAATAGATGCATAATAGATACAAAAATACAGCTGTTGGGAAGAAGTTTTGTTATATAGCATGTATATATACAGGGAAGTACACAGATATGTATGTACACACACATATGTAGGCCACCCTTGGTCTACAGCAATTAATTTTGCATTCTTGAGAGAAATACCAAGAACATTGAATGTTCCCAACATACAGAAATCATATTTGAAAATTAGAAATGCTAACCACTGGGGTTTGGTCACCATACATGATATTCATGTATCAGATTATAATACTGTACCTCATAACTAAGTATAAATATTATAAGTCAGTTAAAGGAAATACATGCTTATGTCTGTAATCCCAGCACTAGGGAGGCTGAAGCAGGAGTATTGCTGAGGGTTTCAGGCCAGCCTGGGCTATAGAGTAAGATCCTTATCTATAAAAAGCAAACATAAAAAACCAAATATGGAACACCAGTGCAATTAGCAGGAGTAGACCTGGCAGAGATTATAGAACCTTTTACTAATGATAAAATTAAAAAATTATGGGACGACAATGAACCCTGGCAAAGAACTTGTATTAATTTTTTGGGAGAAATTAATAGCAATTATCCCAAAAGCAACAACCTTAACCTTATAAAGACAACTACTTGGATCCTTCCCCGCATTGTACGTGATACACCAATAACTGGAGCCCCTATATTCTATACTGTTGCAAATAAATCAGCAAGGCAGGTTACAAATTGGAAGATTTAAATAAAGTGGAACAAAGCCATTATAATTATGTCCAAAAGGCAGAATTATATGCTATTCTTGTGGTACTAGGGATTTAAAATTTTTCTCAATATAGTTACTGATTTGCAATATGCAAAAAGAGTTGTTTTGCATATCAAAACCACTGAATTTATACCAGATGATACAGAATTGACTTCTTTATTTATTCAGGTTCAAGATATAATCAGAAATAGGCTTTGTCCCATATACATAACACAATCCTATCCCCATACGGGTCTGCCAGGTCCTCTAGCACAAGGTAATGCAGAAATTGATCAATTATTGATTGGAAGCATGTTGCAAGCCTCAGAATTTCATAAAAATCATCACGTCAATAGCAAAGGCTTTTCTATTACATGGCAACAAGCTAAGGCCATTATAATGAGATGTTCTACTTGTTCTTTATATAACCAAACACCGCTACCTGCAGGGACTAACCCAAAGGGTACTCAAAGAAATGAAATCTGACAGATGGATTTGCTACACTTTATAGAATTTGGAAAATTAAAATATGTACACCACACCATCAATACCTAGTCATGTTTTCGATGAACAACTACTTTGAGTTCAGAAAAGGCTGATTCAATAATCACACATATGCTAGAAGTTATGGCCATCAGGGGTATACCTTCACAAATAAAGACAGACAATGCTCCAGCATATGTCTCTAAGAAAATGAAACCATTTTTGCTTATTATAATATAAAACATATTACAAGTATACCACACAATCCTATAGGCCAGGCATGGTGGCGCACACCTTTAATCCCAGCACTCAGGAGGCAGAAGCAGGAGGATCTCTGTGAGTTCAAGGTCAGTTTTGCCAAGAAGAAAACAAGCTCCAAGTGGAGTATCCCCAGTGCCCATATTCTCTCAGGAATAGATTAGTGCTGCCAGGAGCAGTCATATCTCATGCCAACAGAATCCTGTTATTTAAATGCCATATTCTACAATTCTTTAAAGTGTTTGAAGATAACCTAACTATCTAAAATATAGTTCTGTACATCTAGAAAACCTAAGTAACATGACTACAATGTTTGATTATTACAGGTCACTATCTATTAATCTACATTTCTTAACTATACATTACATTTTAAAATGAGCTGCACAAACACAACACCTTAAACAAGAGCAGAAATACATATACACAGTGTAGCAAATCGACCTTAAATTTGTATCAATAGACCAAAGTCCATACCAATATAAAGTATTCATCTCTATATATCAGACATTAAGAAATAACACGGGAAAAAATGTTTAGGGCAGAGAGCAACATAAACATCCTCCAGGTTTTCTGCCTCCACATCTTTCCCTAGAATTGCCATTGGCCTCCCAAATCTATTGTCATCTAGATCCC